GCTGTCTTTTCTAAATATTTTAAATTATTCATTCTTTTTCTGATTAATTTTTACCTTTTCCCCTTCTAAAAATCCTCAAGTTATTTATTTTCTCTTTTCCTTGCTTGACAGGAAGTTCTGTAAGGAAAGACTATTTCTGTCATTCTTAAACCTTTGTCTCCAGTGCCTAGAGTGGTTCCTGCTGCATGGTTGCTACTCAGTAAATGGTAGATGAACTCTTCCCACCTCTCTATAGCTCTCACTGATCTTAGTTCTGATACTGTCTTCTTCCTAGAACTAGTATTCTAGGTAAGACTTTTACTGGGCTTATATTTAGCAGTAGAATACTACATGTTCTTTAAGATGTAACTTGGTCCTTCGTCTATCAGACTTCACTTGCCTTCTGTAATCCATGATCACTAAATGGTGAACATTTTCAAATAGTACTGAACTTGTTTGTATTTTTGTTCTATCACATCACTGGTATCTTGTTTAATCCATTTAATACATGTCACTTTAAGCTATGTATTTTATACTTTTTAGTTCAATTATTATAAATTACATACAGAGACCAATATGTGGAACATTTTAGTGTACTTATTTAGTAGATGGTTGTTTTCAAACTAACATCTTAAGTTAAACAAATGTTCAACTTAATGGGTAAATTAAGATTCTTGTTACATAATGGCACTTCTCTGTTTTTTTTTTTTGTTACAATTTTACATAGCAGTTTTTATAAGATTGGATGGTTTTCATTTTCTCCATTTTGAGGAAAGAATACTGGTGTTCTGAGTTTATATAATTCTAATCTTGTATTAAAGTTAGAATTTAAAATTATTTTTATTTTTTTCTGTGTGTGTTTATGTGGTGCCTGTGTGTGCACTTGCATAATGAGACCGGAGGTTATTAGGACCTATCCGCTTTGTTTTTTCAGACAGGGTCTTTCATTGACCTTGAGTTTACCAAGTAGGCTAGGCTGACTGGCTGGCCATCGAGCCCCTGGGATCTATACCTGTCTCCATTTGTCCAGTGCTGGGACAAATGGCTTTGAACAGGGGTCCTTATGCTGTGTGGTCCTCATGCTTTAGCTGCTGAGCTGCCTTTGTAGTTCAGTTTTTAAATGCCTGCTTATATTCAGATTGGATGAGGTCTTTCATGCATCTGGTCATATTCATTTCCTTTCTAATCCAACCACAGATTAAAAACAAACTCATTTTTGTATTTCACATTTTTTGTCTTGTCAGTATATTTCTTAGTTTTGAAGTATTTATTCTGCTTGTGTTGAATTAAAGAAACACAAATTAAAGATAACACTATTACTAGACAGGTAAGGGAATGTGAGAAATGTGATGCCATTCATCTGGGTTTTGTTTTTAAAATACATTATCCCAAATGATAGAAGTAATTGAGTGTTAACATTGCAAAATGGGCAAAATACATATTTTCTGTGCCTCAAACTAAAAAACAAAATGGTGCTTTGAAAAAAAAAATCATGTTTATGGGGGCTGGAGAGATGGCTCAGAGGTTAAGAGCACTGGTTGCTCTTGCAGAGGACCCAGGTTCGATTCCCAGCACCCACGTGGTAGCTAACAGCTCTCCTAACTCCAGTTCCAGGGGATTCAACAGCCTCTTCTGACCTTCATGGGCATTGCACGACCTAGGTGCACTTACATACATGCAGGCTGTATACTCATACACATAAACTAAAAATAATAAAAATTTTTTTAAAAATCACGTTTATTTGCTCTAACCAATAAACGTATAGTAGCAGTAGGAGCAGCAATAATAGTTATAATATTTCCAAATGAAAATGACTTCATGATAATTTTTTTTCTTTTATGTATATGGGTGTGTTGCATACATGTCTGCAAGTACACTGGTGGTGTTTAGTGCCTGCTGAGGTCAGAAGAGGGTGTTGGATCCCCTGGAACTCGAGTTACAAACTATTGTTAGCTGCCATCTGGGTGCTGGGATTCGAATCTGTGTCTTTTGGAAAGGCAGCCAATGCTCTTAAACCGCTGAGCCATAGCGCTAGCCCTCATCATGTTAAAAAAATTGAAAGCACAAATCTTTTGATGTAAAATGAAATAATCTAAAAACCATTTGAATTTTCACCACAAATCATGAAATGATCATTTTGTTAATTTCCTCATTCCTGATGAGAACCTTTTTTTTGTTCAAAGCTCAGTGCTGGACATTTCAGGTGGCAAGGAGGGTTAGGGTTATGAGGGACGGTGCAGCATGTGCACAGTGCCCTTCGTCTTTGATTACAAATGCTTTGGTTATTGTTGCTGTCTAGGAGAGAGGCAGTGTCCCACAGAGATCTTTAAGGAAGGCTTCTCAGGAAGGACAACATTTGAAGCAGGACATACATATACTTATATATATGTATATATATGGAGAAACTAATGAATAGAAGTAAAAGGCTTTTTCTGGGAAAATGGTCTGGCTCAAAGAGATTCAATTGCGGTATCTTAAATGTTCTAAAGGAACATGGATTTTTGTCTGTGATAGAATAGTAGAGGTTGCCTGAATTGGGATTTTAATTTGTTACACAAAGAAACAAGTATTTTCTCAGTGCTTTTAAAACTTAGCCAATTAAAAATTGTACAGTATAATCATGAAAAATGACAGATTGTGAGCTTTTTATGTCTCTAAAGTTAAGTTTTTTCAATATGATCTTCTAGCAGCTTTTATGACTTCAAAAATATTTTTAGTACAAAATAATTTTTTGCTTCAAAATTAGCAGTCAGATTTTTATAGGAGGCCAAATAAGGTAACATACTGGCCATTTTACATTTATGCATGGGAATTTAGTTTCTAAATATTAACTGCCTAAAGCATATTTTCAGTGTTTTTGTTGGTCACTTTTCTAGAAGCTTAGTAGTTCCATTTCTTTTCCTGTAATGCTATGTAAAGATCCTTATATGAGAAGCATGCCACTGAATTCCCCTGGTGCAGTGCTACAGTGTATCGTAAGTCAGCTTCATCAGTTTTTCAACACCAGGAGTGGATGTTTGTCTCAAGACTTTGCTTTAACCCTAGATTACCATAGAAATCCTGTGTATGTGTAGCTGAGAATTGAACCCCAGACATGCTAGCCATGTCTCTCCCTCTCAGCCATATCTCCAAATCCTGAGACAGAGTAATTCTGTTCTGTTGTGAACAGTAGTGTGGTTGTGTGTGTGTCTGTGTCTGTGTGTCTGTGTCTGTGTAGAAAGCTTCCAGAATGAGTTTTGTTGAAGTATATTTAAGTATTCCTTACAATGTGTTTGGATAATTAATATTTGTTTCACATTAATCAAATATCTAAAGTACAAATTATCTAAAAGTCTATTGGGGATGACTGTGATGGTATTTAATTGAATAACTCCATAATTCCATCTTACTGTCATCTTTGTCATGAATGTGGAAAATTACTAGATTACCCAGAACATTTATGGAAGACAGAGGCTGGGTCTGTTTTTGTCTCATACCTCTCACAGTGCTCAGTCCACAGTCGTGTGTGACATCTGTTGAGGTGCTATTCCTGGAGTCATATGGCACCCAGCATATGGTACTTTCTTTTGCTATTTAACAACTAAGTAGAGAATAAATCATCCCAATGTATATCAAAGTTCCAAAATGAAAGATAAAGTATGTAAAGTTAGTTATTTCAGAATGGAGTAGTTTTATTTTGTTACTCAGAATAGTTATCACCGGGAAACTCTATTGCATAAAGTGAAAAATGCAATGAAACACTGTTCAGTCTTCATATCCTGGTATTACAGAAAGGCTGCTCATTCTTTCATCTACTCAACTTTTTCCTTTTGTTGCTCATTTTTGTTTTAGAAATTTTAAAAGTAATTTTCCAAAAAGGACCCTTTTTGTTTAAATCTTATGTAGAAAACTTTTAAACTACTTGAATTCTAAGGAAAAATAATATTTACAGTTTTATCACCCTGAAATAATGGGTACTTCCTGTGTGTTTCAGTAGATTGATTAACTTTGAGACCAAAAGCTTTATTTTCTCTCATGTATCATTCCACCCCAGTCTGCAGATGTTTGTATCTTCATGGGACCCACTGTTGTTTTCTAGCCTGATATCTGCTGATCTTTTGATATTTGGATTCATTTGATTTCTTTGGCTTGTTGATTTTGTTTATTTAGATCTTAACAGTTTTAAAGTCAGGATTATTTGAAATACAAAGAGTGCTACAGGCTTGTCTTTCTTTTTCTTAGTTTTATTTTAATGAAGTTTTCTTAAATGTTGAGATTTTTTGTTTGGTTAGAAGAACAGATTTAAAGGTTTTATTTGTCAGTCTTGACAGTATTGACATTTTACTTAATATAAGTGGTGAATGTGCATTTTTGCAGGTTTTTCTCATCAGCATTCTGCTTTTGCTTTTTATTTTTAGTGAGTAAATGGCTTAAGAGTCTTTTCGTTAGACAGGGTCAGGTACCAGCATTACCATGTCTGTCTCTGTCCCCAGCTTAAGCATACACTAACAGGTAGTGGACGTCCATAAGGATACATTTGGGAAAGTCCAAGTTATGCCAAACATTTTTCCAAATTAGAGCTAGAGGAAGTTGAATAATGCTGCCTTCTGATACGTTAGCCTCTATATCAACTACAGAATTTGTTTTGTCTCTTTTTAGAACTTTGCTTTTGAATAAAATTACTCAGCACAGACTATGATGAAAGTAGTATGCTAATGGCATAAGTATCTTATCTGTCCTTCATGACTGCTTTCCTTAAACATTATATGATGTCCAGTTCCTGTCTAAACTTTTTAACATCTTAGCGCCCCTTGCAGGGTATAAGCTGTGGTAGAAGGCTTTGTCCCTTTTTCATACTGACTGATGTGATGGCGCTTAGGTGTTTAACAGTGCCCAAAGTGCATACCATTGGTTATGCTTTGCTTAGGGGTGCAGGAAGGACATGTGACATTAATAAATGTAAAAATATTTTAGTGCTTGTAGAACACTTTTACGATTACTTAAAGTCCTACTCATTTTAATTATTTATATTTTGTTTATAGAAATGCTTCCATCATTTCTTCAGAAAGTTGAAGTTATCTCTGAAGCCTCTAGAGAGACGTGTGTAGCTTTGAGTGATTGCCTTGATCTCTTCACTAAACAAGAAGGGGTAGGTCATTCAGAATTGAATTTTTAAAATACTTGAGTATCACGTTTGTCTAATAAGCCATTGTTTCCAAATTGTTCGAGAGTAAAAAAAAATTAGCATTAACAAAGGAAATGAAAGCTTCACTTTCATAAAAATTCTGAATTTATTCTCAATTAAACTGGGTGATTCTGAAGTAACAGTGCTCATGTCTGTGGAATTTATAGGTGTAACTATATTTAAAAAACATTCTTAACACTGTTCTGTCCAAGATGATTGTGAAACTTCTCCCCTCCCCTCCTCTCCCACTTCCCTCCCCTTTCCTCCCCTCCCCTCCCCCTTATCCTTTGACACAGGGTCTCTCTGTAGTTCCAGCTTGCCTGGAACTCACTTTGTAGACCAGGCTGGCCTCAAACTCATAGAGATCTGCTTGCCTCTGCCTTCCGAGTGCTGGGATTAAAGGCATGTACCACCATGTCTGGCATGATTGTGATATTTCCATAAGAGATGTGAACATATTCTAGAAAAAAAGACCTATATGTAGAAAACATACAATGCTTAGATCCAGAAAACAGAGTGGTGTTATGTTACATTTAACTGTTTAAACTGAACTCCATGGATGAAATTTTTCTTCTTCCTTCCTATTCAACATTTAGCCATTGGCTTTTCCAAATTTAAGCAAGAGCAGTATACGTGCGCATTAGTTACTTTTGTAAGGATTAAAATGTGGTAAAGATGTATTCTGGTTACTGGAACTGATGTTTTTCTTTTTCTTTTTTTTTTTTTCCATTTTGATGATTTTCCATTTGATTAACTTTTTCCCTCTATATGTTTAATCTTCAACTTTTTGAATTAAGATACTTAACTTATTTTTGTTTTAATTTGTTTGTGTCTTCTGTTTAGAGATTGAGTTTTGATAAAATCAGATAAAAATGGTTTTATAAATAATCTTTTTCTTTTTTATATATATCTTTATACTGTTATAGTTGGACTTTTTACTATCAGCCTGATGGAAGGCATAAAGTTTATAATCATGCATGCCCTCTTCTTTTTTATTTTTATTTTTTATGGTGCTTTTGTAATTTCATATAGTGACTCTTAATCAAAGGGTTTAGACCACCCTCCCCTATTTTTTGTATGCAAAGATTGAAATTTTTTTTCCTGTGGTTAGAATGGAAGCCTTATGAATTCATGAACAATTTAAAAGATGCTACCTTTGTATATATATCACAAATTATACATATGACATTTATTTAAAAAAATATGAAGATATTAATATGAATTCATTAAAGTCTTTCAGTAGAATTCTATTATAACAGGAAGACATGACTGATTCATTAGACAGTTATTTCTTACGGCTTTTTTTGTTTGAGACAGGCCTTTGCAGTGAGAGTGGCTTCAGATTCATGGTCCTCCTGCCACCACATCTGTGCTGCTTGGATTGCAGGTGTACACTAGTGTTGTGAGTGTGCTATATCATAGACATAGATGGCTATGTTTGTTTTCCACAGTCTCAGAATTTATTGAATGACGTACATTCATAGGGCTGTAGCGATAGCTCCATGGTTAAAAGTACTTGGTGTTCTTCCAGAGGACCCATGTTTGTTTCCCAGCAGGTCTGGCAGCTCCCAACTTCCTTTTACTCCACCTCCAGGGGATCAGTGCCTTCTTTTGAACTCTTTAGGCATTGCACTCGCCTCCCATAAACATACATACACATAATTCACCAAATATTCCTTATTTTGCTTGATGGACACATGGTTATTGACTTTCACAGATTCTTTTATTCCAATTTTAGTATTAACTCTTAAGACTGCATGTTCTAGCTTGTACAATAAGATACAGGGTATTGACTGTGAAGAAAAATTTAAGGCGACTACAGAGATCCTATAAAGACAAAAGCGAGCACTGGTACAGTTAGTGACAGCTAAGTTGGTTAGGTAAGACATCCAGGATGCAGTCACAAAGCTTATGGGATAGTGGTGGACAGAGATAGTTCAGGTGAGTGGCAAACAAGTGTGTCAAATGAGGATTGTGCCAAGCTGCCTCTCAGAAGAGTCAGGAGTTGTCTATAGGTTGATCTCTTAATACCCTGCTCCTGATGGTTTGATGCCAGGTAGGTGGGCACTGCTATATGTCATTGTGAGGTGTCCTTCCTCTTATACAACCCAGTGTTGGAGTTTCATCCTTCATTGGTCTGGTGTTTTTGAGTTCCTGGGCCTAGTTTCTCTGATATGGCTTTGATATGCCATGTGTCCATGTTTTCCTTCAGTAAGTTCATAGGTAATATTTTACTTAGCATGAGTAAGCTAGCTGTCAGCCTGTGCCATGGTCTGTGCTGGACAGATGGTAGTTGTTTACCTGCACAGACCACATACAGAGGCATTCTGCTACAGCCTTTTCACTCAAAATAGGACACACCACTATTTGGTAAAGTGGAGTCATGCAGGTCATGGCCCAGCATGAAAGATGCTGTTTTTTTCACTGTAGAGCAACCCAAAGCACACCCCATTAAGTATTTTAATGATTAAATGCTTGATTCTTCGCAGCATTTCTGTTTTTCGTAGCTTGCAGATTTCGTATGCTAGTTTGTTTAAAGGGTGGCTGGATGATACAGTATTCTGAATAAATATGAGTTGGGATCATCATTTTAGAATCCTTGGAATTAAAACATTATATTGCTGGATTCTTGTGTATGTAGCACATTGTGAAACTAAGTTTCTCATCTTTTGGGCGGTACCTAATAAATGTACTGATACCATTTTTGCTCTAGGGAGGTATGATTTTAAGGCTGAACAGTAAGAGGTTGATGCGTGTTTAATTCCTGGAAATGTATACATTTAATTAAAAATTATTTTTTGAGACAGGGTATCCTTGTAGTACCAACTGGCCTGGAACTTAACCAGGTTGGCCTTGGTCTCCCAGAATCTGCCTGCTTCTGCCTCCCAAATGCTTAGACTAAAGGCATATGCCACCAGGCCCAACAATTTCTAAGCTATCTGTTTAATAGTGTATAAGCCGTTGCTTTCTGAAGAATCTAGACAGACAAAAGTTTTAGAATAATGTTAAGACTTAAAACTCTTAGCCTCTAAAATTTGTCATGCATAAAAGTGTGATAATATAAGCAGAATGCTCTAGCACATGGTAAGCAGGGAGCTCTGAAAATCAGTCATATTGGTAAGATTTTATATGATTAAGATTTGTGATCCCTCCTCTCTGATAGCATCTTGAAGCTCTGTTTCTTTAACATTACATTTGTCTTGTTTAAGAAGAGGTAATGCTAAAGAGAATTTATTTGAATGTTGGGCATGGTGACACATATCTATAATCCCAGCACTTTGGCTAAAGTAGGAGGATCACCATGTGTTTGGGGCCAACCTGGGCTATATAGTGAGACTTTTTCTCAAACAAACAAATACCACATGGGGTGGGGAGGAAAAGAGAATATGTATTCCACTACTTTGGGGATGATTCTGTTTTTTCTCCATCCTCATTACTTATTTAAGTAGACTACTTCATGTTCTTGAACCTTCACATCTTCATCTCCCATATAAGAACATACAGAAAGTTAAGAGCACTGGTCTTTAAGTGTAGTGGAACTATTTTAAGTTTTAGTCTTTAACCAAACATGACAAATTTCTGTAAAGTGAAAACATTTATACACCTCAGGATTAACTGCGTGCAGGTGAACAGGTCCGTAGGGATACAGCATGTTGCATGGACACAATAACTGGCATTTAATTTTTAACTATTGTGTCTTTAAGATAGCTTTTCAGAAATTTTGTGAAACCCCATCTCAGTTAAATGCACAAATTTCCTTCTCATAAATAAGATAGGAAATGAGAATTGAAAGATAAGTGGTGTCTGAGATTTTCTTCTGTATTATTGCTATAATTATTCCGAGGCAGGGTCTCACTATGTAGCCCTGGCTGTCTTTCTACTGTCAATGCACCTACTTCAACCTCTTGGGTACTGAGATTTCAGGCATATATCACCATGCCAAACTTGAAGTCTGTCTTTCAAATGCCCAAGAAATCACAACACAAGAATTGAATAGCATAATTGAGGTCAGGGTGGCATAACTGTGTTTATAATGTCTTACTTATCTGCTATTATAAATTACATTTATTCCACCTGAACTTTTATTAATAGAGCAGTCATAAACTTTGAAGTCACACAGACCTGTATCTCTTCCTGTTTTTGAATGCTGTCTCCTTTATGAATGTGGTAGCCAGATGAAAACACTTGTGGATGTTTTTGAAGACTAAACAATATCATAGTAGCCAAACATCTGTTTTATACCTGCTTCAAAATACACAGGAGATGGGTGTGAGTGATTCAGTCCCCATAGCAACAAACTTGTTTTTATTCTATTTATTTGGCAATTATTTTAAAAGA